GAGGGTTTAATTTCGCATAATAAAAAAAAAAAAAAAAAAATATTTCGATAATAAAAAGTGTTTGGTTTGATTAAAATGAATTTGTAAATATCGGTTGTTGAGAAAATTAATTTCTAATAAGATTAATTTATTAGAAGAAGAAATTTTCTTATTTGTTGTTTTTTTTTGTACTAACTCTAGGTACCAAAACTTAATTATTTTACTTTAAAAGTTTTTGTTTCTAATGATTTGGAATTTGCTTATTTAAAATGGATTCTTAATAATTTCAATCATATCCGAAAATTTAAACTTCATCTTCAAATTGATAGAATGCATTCGCGCTCAGCTGCAACGATTAACGAATATGTTGATGCAAATTTTATTCGTCAACATTGTTTACCTGATATAATTATCAATCTAACAGATTTTCACTTTTATATCGTTTCCGAATGTCAATTATTCTCGAATAAAATTGAACAAATAATAAATTCATTTAAAATTCATCAATTTTTTGTTTCACATCAATGGACAAATGTAACTTGTTTCTATGATCGATTTATTTCATGTCAACATCTTTCTTCTTCTATTGTTAATAGACCTCAATTTATTAATGGCTTTGTGTAAGAGAAATTTTTTCATAGGAATATGTGTAGTTTTTATTATAACTTTTTCTTTTAGTTATTATCCAAATATTTTTACTTGGCCACATATTCAAGATGTTTCGATTGCTTTGCATCCATCTCTTTATTTACTTCTTGAACGATTCGATGAAATATTTCCTAATATTTCTCATATTAAAGTTAATACAGGTTAGAAGTTTGTGTAAATTCTTTTAATTTATTCGATGGTGATTGTTTTAATAACTGATGATCATTTATATAGTTAGTGTCAATAGTAGAGACTATTCAGAATATCGAAACTATATCAAATAGAAATATCATTAAATGACTGAGATCCACTTTTATCGATAGAAAACCGTTGCCACTTGAAATGTTTAACTGTTAGTCAGGTGAACGTAATTTACCTTAGTATTAACTGATTTACTTGAAAATTTCATAAAACCCTCAAGTCTTCTCTGGAAGATAGGCTTTAACGAGAGCAAAATAGAAACTACTCTATTATTTACCGATGATATAAATTTGTGTATAGTTTATAACTAAAAGAAAAGAATAAAAAGTAAAAATTTTCATTGAAATAGATATGCATGATAAAAAAGATTTCTCGTAAATGTTTATTTATAGAAAATATATTAATTGTTTTTCTATAGAGTATTATATAGATCCTGATGAGTCCAACTCATTGATGTCATTAAGAATACCATTTCAAATAGGACAACGTAAAGTGACCGATATTCAATTTCGATATGTGACAAGACTTGATTTTGGATTTTTTTTAAATCGTATGGATCGTAAGTATCAATTTATCTTTTTTTTAGGTAAAACTTTATTTTATAAACATTTTACATGAATTTAATAAACAGTTCTACTATATAGAATAACGACTGATGCAAACGTTCGTCTACGAATCTTTCACCGTTATTCTTTCGTGAAAACACGTTTGAGAAAAATGAAAAATAGCTAACTTCGCTTCTCCCACAAAATATAAACCGGCCCTGCAATAGAAGCTCATTGTGAGAGGTATCATTTTCCAAATATAGTAGAAGTGTTTATTAAATTCATGTAAAATGTTTATAAAATAAAGTTTTACCTAAAAAAAAGATAAATTGATACTTACG